GGAGAAAGCAGTTGCTGTTCAGCCCAACTGCAGTTCAGCTGCTGGAGCAGCTGGGTTTTCCTAAGATTACCTCTCCTCTTCCATCTCTCAAAATGTCTGACGGGACTAAAACACTTGTCAGTGCTGAATATTTTCAGTCTGCTTAATGTGCAAGTAGTTTCAGTGGCATCCCAAGCTTTTACTATTGCTTTACTATGTTAATGTGGAGGAAACATTCTACTGCACAAACAGTCGACTCAGCCCTTGAGTTGTTTCCAAGTGCAAGTGAGGGCACTTGGAAAAATGCTGTACTGGTTGTTTAATTATTTTTTTAAATAAATGATATCAATTAATAAGAATTCAACTTACTTTGTATTTTATTATTATTATTTATTACATAATTGCTTTAACTGCACAACAAATACTTTTGAGTTCTCTCTATTCTAGCCATGGTTGTGCTTTTTCTTTAGAGGTGCAGAACTTCATAATGCAGTAAAAAAGGAGCCCACAGTGAGTAAAATGTGACAGAGGCAGAAAAACAAATGGAAGTTGCTTTAGGTTCAGAGGGTTAAACAGTAAGAAAAAGCCTACGTTGTTGTTCTCTTGCTCCTCTACAGCCTCTGTTTATTGTTGTGTTGACTTGATGGCTGTGGAGTTAATCGTTCATATTTCTGTCCTCCTCAGGTTGAGCAGACCAGCCGACCAGTCATGGTTTTGTTCCTGATCAAATACCTGATGATGCTGGTGGTGGGGATTCCCTCTGTTTTCTGGGTGGGCAGTAAGAAGACCTGCTTTGAGTGGGCCAGCTTCCTGCATGGACGCAGACGCAAAGAGTAAGAAGAGACACTTGATTCGTATTTGTTTTGAGAACTTAAAGCTTTATGCACAGATTTTTCTTTGTTCAGACATTGAACTAAACCAAGTTGTTTACAACATGTGCTGCTTATCAAGTTATATTTTTGATTTTTATTTTTTTTTGAGAGAGAATTTTAGAATTTCATTTTATAAAACATGCAGCAGAACATCTATTCATGACTGTGTTTGTCTCTATGGTGACATGTGGATATCCTCTGCATCTGTGACCTCTCACCCTCAATAACAGCACATTAACCTTCTCTCCCTGATCTTCTTCTGTTGCACTGGTCTTGCCTCTCTCACCTCCCCATCTTTATCTCCGCACTCCTCCTTGCATCCTCCTTCCACATCCCCGCCCTCCCTTTTAACTCTTGAATCTCCTCTGTCTGGATCCTGTTACCCTTTTACCTGCAACTTCCCCTCGTCTCTTCTCCTTAATCCTCCCACCCCTGCCCTCCCTCACCCATTTCTCACTGTAGCAGTGGAGTGAATGAGTCTCGCCAGGTGCTGCAAGAGCAACCAGACTTTGCCCAGTCTCTGCTGCGTGAACCCAACACCCCCATCATTAGAAAGTCCAGAGGGACATCCACTCAGGTAGGACTGCAAACATGTCAGTAATATGCATATGAACCACAAAGTCATTTTAATGAGGATGGTTCTTGTAGCACTAATAGCAGGTAATACAGAAACGCTTTTGCCTGCTTTGACCACGTAAAGTATGTGCATCATTCGAGAAGCTGACGTGCTGCAGAACTTATCTTTTTGCTGGATGAACCTGCAGCACATGTACAGTGACGGGCTGCAGCTGAACAAAACACAGCCTTTTGGATGCATTAGTTTGTGTAATATGAGTAAGTTAACATCTACAGACTACAGTGGAATCTGTAAGGGACAACGTTACTAAGCAACCATCAGCTAATATTAGCAAATAAATGTCAACAGGCTGATTTAGATGTCATTCCTAGTATACTCCGTATTAGAGCTTTTAATATGTCTAACAATTCATAAACCTGAAGGCTTAAAATGTGCACTGTTTTTGCTGAATATCTACAAATTGTGTTAATGGATAAAGTAGACCACCTGTGTACTCCAGACTTCTGATTCGGGCACAACATAACTGAAGTTTTTCCGCCCTGAAGATAACAGAAGATATGTTTCTGATTGAAGATATCAAACATGTTTTTGAATTTATTTTGGAGAAATGTTATATGTGACCCATCTGCATGAAATCAGTCACATTGCGCCTTGAGCTAAACAAAAGCAGCATGTTGCTACCACATGACACAAATCACGGGACAGGATTGGCTGGCAATGACACATAGCTCGCAGCACACAAGGGATTTCTGTGGTTTCTTTCTGGTGTTGCTGCTCATGTACACTGACAGTATTTGACAGCAATATGGAGCGTAATATTATTACACTCTGTATTGTTATATGTTACCTACATGTAGAAAACAACTAAATGAACTGATCTAAGTAATAAACCCAAAATCAATATTTTATCATGTGTTAATGTAATTCAGGTTCTATCTCAGATATAGCTCAAGGTGCAATGTGACTGATTTCATGCACATGGGGTCACATATTTTTCTATGATTTAGGCAAACACATATAAAGAATCTAAACATCAGACACATCAGCCTCTGTGTCTGATATTCCAGCAAATGTTTTTCTGCAGTCAGTGTCACCGGTTACATCGTTACATCTGTCTGACCTCTCATCCGTCTTTAGGGCACCTCCACCCACGCCTCCTCCACCCACTTGGCCGTTCTAGACGACCCTGAGGAGCCAGTCAGAACCCACCACGGACACCCCGCCTCCACCAGGAGCAAGGCCAGCAGCGCCCACAGCAAGGCCAGCTACCACGGCAGCCTGCGCCGCTCTCGAGACGACAGGTACAGCAGCACAGCCCAGACCCTCCGTCTGTCTCCCTCCCCTTTGCTTCTCCTCTCCTTCTCATTTCTGTCTCCTCCTCCCTCAGGAGCGACACCATGGTTTACCGAGGTACAGAGGAGCGCAGTTTCCATGGCAGCATGCCACGACTGGACCACCCGCTCTCCACACACAGCAGCCTCCATCAGCTCGACGGCCACTCAAGGCACAGCAGCCAGCGAGACGTGTCTGAAGCCCCGCCTACCCTCATCACCCACGGAACCACAGCGAGCGACGGCCGAGTCGCCGAGAACGACGGCACCAGCGCCTGAGAGGTGTCACGAACTCCACAGGAAAATTATTGTAAGGACGCTGCCGCTGCCTTTTAAGGGAAGGTTTGTCCTCAGCAGATACACAGCGTTCTGTTCAGTGTGCGTTTGCTTTTCTGAATGAGGAGAAGGTACCAGAGAGTGCTGTGGTGGAGCTTTTTGGTGTTCGTTCCTTACTGGTCGTCTGTGAGCAGACGTGCTGACACAGTTCAGTCAGTCAACACAACTGATCTCTTGCAGATTCAGTTGAGTTTCACTGTAAGCTGGACAAGTTTGTTTACTTCTTTATTACAGTTTAAATGGAGGGTTTAGTCCTGATTGCTTGACAAGCATGAATAAATCCACCTCGTCAGACTTTTGGTCACTTCAAGACATTATTCAGGGAAAGATTTGGTAAACTAGAACTGGACACGAAACAGAAACGGACAAAATGCAGAAAGACAGGTTTGTGTATTTTAGATTGAAACTGTTTCCTGCGATCTGGTCTTGAGTGTGGCATCACCCGTATGATGGTGGCATTTTTTCAAATTTCACAGGACCTACGTGGATATTGTTGAATATGTGAACACTGCCGAGTATTGTTTTTGTAACAATCTTAAAAAGCTTGTCCCCTATCTTGGTAACGTCTCACATGAAACTTGACATGTTTCAGTCTCGACTGTAGACTTGTTTATTTCCGACCTTTGTTCGTTTTGGACTGCAGCTCTTAATGATGTTTGTCTTTACGTGGCTTCGGAGACAAACACGGGCCTGAAAGTGTGAAATCGTGGACCTCTCTGTGGTTTAGTGAAATATTTTTATACTGTGAAAATTGTCTGTCTGCTGCTGAAAGCTTCACTGTGTGTGTGTGTGTGTGTGTGAGAGAGTGTGTGAGAGAACGTGGCAAATGGAGACATCAGTGGTGATAATGTGTTTTAAACTTTAATTCCTCCCTTGAGCTGAAGGAGGAAGCTGAAAGATGAAAACTTGTGCAACCCAGAATGTAAAAGGGTTGTCTGAGAATCACAGAGAGAGAAATATAACACGGACATGTGAAATGCTCTGGAATAATTTCTGTGCACTTGCTTGCATGCATAGACGTTTATTCCGGCTCAACTGAAACTAATTTTCGCACTGACCCTCCTGCACAGAGGCTTCGGCTCGGCAAAGAAAGACAAGGCAGCTTTAGAAACAAACACAAGAACAGTTTACTCAATCACTGCATGTTCAATATTTTGTAATAAATAAACATACTAGTCAGGTTAAAGTCTAAAATTTGCCTCACAGCTTTAAAATCTGTCTAACATATGACACACATTTAGAATACGACAAACTGACAACCAGAGTATTGTAACAAATTCAGGTATTCATCACTGCGTTCAGACCTCATGGCTGCATCGTGGTTTCAAAATGGAAACGGCGCTTCTGCTCTGACACGTTTCTTGGGGAGAGGAAATGCTTTTTTTTTTTCTCATGTAATACTCACCCGTGTACTTGATATGTGCTACTGTACATGCTCTGTGATCACGTGTGTTCTTCAGACCTGGAACTTGCCTGAAGAAGTGCAGACATTTGGCAGGAGGGCCGAACGATTTGAGGAAAAAAAGAGTTGATTTGCGATATAAATTCATAGTGTAATACGTTTAGATAGATGGAGGCTTTATTGTTGTTCTGCAAAATACAACGAAACTTGCGTGTTAACTCACAGCAATAATTCAATTCAATTTTATTTGTATAGCGCATATTTACAACAACAAGTCATCTCATAGCGCTTGACAATATGACAGATATTTAAATTGTGATAGAGCATAACGACATGAGACGCCATCAGCCGTCTGTAAAATCTGTACAACCTTTGACAGCGCAGTTTAAACCCCGGTTCAGATACGCTTTGTGATTTGCTAATTGTTTTAAAATTCAGTCAAATATTGTTGAGTCATTCAGCCCTAATGAACCGTCAAACTGTAAAGAACAAAAAACATCCAGTCATTGTGATTTTTACGTCCTCTGGCATTTATTTTACACTCGTTAAGTAAATGTTACAAGAAGTGTATATTGTAAATGTTTTTCTAAAGTTTGCATTTTGTTCTCCAATCCCTCCAAACCCGATTAACCTACCTCGCTTGTAACCTCAGCCTTCTCTGTACCTGCACTCATACGTCACTGGGTGCTTTTTGGAAAGTTAAAAAAGTCAACTCATACAATCAGTTCAGTATAACTATCGGTGCTTACTTCTGAAGAATCTCGACTCGTGTTTATTGAACAGTAGCTGGCTGTCCGTCGTCCCACAGTTGGCTTCGTATTTCTACCTCCTCAGTTCAAGCTAACTCTCTGCCTTCCACTGCTGCCTCTCTCCTCCTGTCTGTTGTTATTTGTCTACGCTCGAGTTTGTCATGAGCAGCTACCTTCTGTCAGCCTGTCTGCCTGCATATCTGTTGTACATACTGTAGATTTTCTGTACTGTGTGATGACTAATCTGCCTCATATCTGCCTTCTGCCTCTCCTCCTGCTCATGTGCCCACGCTAATCTTTTTTTGGACCTACAGCAACTGTCTGTACTCTCGCAAGTCGTGACTGCTTACAAACATTAACCGTTGTGCTTTTTTTTTTTTTTAACCTCTGAATTGGACACAACGAAGAGAGACGCTACGGTAGACTCTGTATCATCAACACAATGAAAGAGGAACTGTCTCCTTTTTCAGCTGGTAAATATCTCATTCTTGTTCACTTGAGCGTGAGATGATCAATATTCGTCGGTCACGGGGAGACGTGAGGACCAGAGCTCTGCGTGCTTCACTCGTGTCATATCGTGATGCTGTGAACGACAGGAGCTTGAAAGTATGACACATTTTCAAAGATGGTTCAATAATAATATTGTGAATTTTGAAACTTGACTTGTATTTGCCTTTTAATTTATTTGCAGTGTGGAGCTGTAATGACTTCTTGTACCTGCAGTCTAATAAATTTTTTTTATAGACTTCACTTTTTGTTTTCTGTTCGTACATGTTTGCATTTTTATTCTTGCTGGCTGATGTTGCCCTCAAAGACACAAACCCAAACCCTTCATCTGACAGTTTGATTAAAGTCTGACTTATTTTAAGCCTAAACTTGTCACAAAAAGAAGGAAAGTCTTCACCTGTGGTTTACTGGTAACACTGGTCGACACCCATTTTGGTGCCAAAGTTTTTTGAGCTGATTTTGGACAATTGCAATGTGCTGAATCCAAACATTACATTGGTTTTGCTCAATGAGGTCAAAATTTTGATTTGTCGCCACATGCACTTTATTACATTTTTGTGTACATGTGCAGGTATCTATGCTTTGTATCATACAAAAGTCTTTTTCTATTTCCTGAAATGAACAAATTCTGAAACCTTTACAAGTTGATGATGTGTTGTGTGTAGCCCTGTGATAGACTGGTGACCTGTCCAGGGTGTCTCCTGCCTTCACCCTAAGTCGGCTGGGATAGACTCCAGCCCCCCATGACCCTAGTGAGGATTAAGCGGTGTATAGATAATGGATGGATGGAACTTTTGGATCAGTTAGCTTATGAAAAGGATTAGAAAATGACATTTTTCCTCTAAAATCCGATTTCTTATGAGAGATACTAAAATAAATCAATCGCTCAAAAAATGTGATCGATTTAGTGGCAAAATTGATTTTTTTTTTTTTTGTAAATCGAGTTGGCATAGAAACCTAACCTGATACAAAAAAGCAGATTTCATTTTTGGATTCAGCGTTGCAAAAATGTCCTAAATCAGTTTTAAAAAATCCGAGACACCTTCGAAAAACATATTTTTTTGTAACCCAGTGTTGTACAGTAATTTATGCACTGAACAATAAGAGGGAGCCTGAGACTCTTTGTGGCTGCAGCTTCTTTCCAGCTTAGTTTTTTTTTTTTGCACTGTTGACACTCTTTGCTTTTTTTTTTTATTTGTCTGCTTTTCCGTTGAGGGAAAAAGAGTCGTGTGTCAAAGTGACATTTAGATCAAACATAAATCATGGCAAAAATCAGTCTTTGTGAAACCGGCCCCTGGAGATAGTGAGAGGTTAAACCATCTGGATATCTTTCACAGGAAAAAAAACAGCCTTTCAGTACAAAAAAGAATTACATTTGAGTCAACTGACCTCCATTAAACATCAGACAGAATAACATAACACCTCTGCAGTAGGAACGCCGGGGATTGAGCACTTCATATCTGAAAACTCTGCTCTGATGCTACAAAGACCAAATAAATGATTTTTGTGTGTCTGTGGTTTGCTGTTGCACAGTGTTCCTCGAGGGTAACTAATCCTAATCTTTAAATCCTGCATAGAAATAAGTTTGAAGCTTCTATTAGACCTTGCAAATGCCAATAACATGTTAAGGATCGGTTGACTGACCACATTTCTTGATCACATTTCGCTCTTAGAAGCAGCACTAATCAAACTCACTCCATATGAATGTGCTCGTCACTGGGAACGTCTGCAGCGTTGTAAAACAAAGAATGACCTGAGACATTTAGCTTCCTGTGTACTCTATTTGAAGCGATACACAGTCAGGACCAGACTCCCGATCGTTCTCGTTTCCGGCGGACGATGGCGGCCACGTCCTGCTTCAGAGTGGACACGCTCTGTTCCAGCTGCTCGGAGAAATCCCTCAGCAGACGACTCTGCTCGTCCACGAACAGTCTGAGGCCCAACAGGTCAGACTCCTCCTGGACACACAGAAAACACACAAAGCAATTTAGATGAAAACTACCTTAAACAGCCATCCTACATGTCTGCTAACCAGTGACTAAGTTCTACTGTGTGTTTTCATTCAACCTAAGATAGAAATGACAGCAGGCGTCTCATTTCCAGCTTTCTGTCTGGTTTGCAGATGCTTCTTCTTCTGTAGTTGGTTCTGCTATATTGAAAAGCAGCTGAAAAAAACTAATATTTGCAATCATTGTATCAAACAGATACAGAATATAGAAACTAAATTCTTAAAAGCAAAAACTTTGACATTCCAAAAATGAAACATTCAAGCAACCAAAGTAAATCCGTGAGTGAAACAATCAACTGTTGCTGTAATCTCACTGAGACTTTTCTCCAATGCCAGTCAATTGTGTGTTTAATTGGGTCCAGCTCTCCACAAATCCTCTTGTTTTGCTTAATTGTTGTCGAGGGCTTTGCATCAACAGAGCCTCATTGTCGTAACGCTCACTAATGCTGCGGCTGCAGGCGGACATGGATACGTACACTGGGCCTGTGTCTGCGCAGGCGCTGCAGCTGACCTCTCACTGAGGTCATGCTGTGGTAGAAAACCTTCAGAGCACGAGCGAACTCTGCATCACAGCTGGGACGCACCGACCGGCCGCGAACTCCCTCCACGCCTACGACGAGAAGGAAGGAAGGTGTGTGAGAGAGAGTGAGCTGCAGTGAGCACGTCAAACTACTGTTTTCTAATTGTTGGAATGGAAACAACCAGGAACAAACTTGTGAGTGTTTCGGTTACCGTTCCTGGCTGTGTTGAGCTGTTCTCTCAAACTGTGATTTTCTTTCCTCAGTGAAGCGTTAACACTCTTTAGCTCCTCCAAGTCCTGTTGTAGAGCTCTCACTGAACAGCTGAGCTCTGCAGAGTCCACAGGCTGCAATACACACCAACACACACACACACACACACACAGACACACACACCATATACATATATATATACACAGTCATCCTCAAATGTATTCATACCCTCATATTTTAATAAAAGCAAACAAGCATGATGGGACCCGTAAACTAATATTTTGTTGAACAACCCTTTGAGCCAATCACTGCAATCAGGTGTTTTCTGTAACTCTCCATCAGACCGCTGCACCTGTTGACAGGTGTTTGGATTTTGGCCCACTGCTCATCAGCAAAGTGCTCGAATTTTTCCAGGACTGTTTTTTTTTTATTATTATTCTTTTCAACCACAATTCAGACAAAATGTCTTATTTTACTAAATTATAATTTTGCAAATTTTTATTTATTATTACTTTTTTCAGTTTCCAGTTATTTGAGTGACTATTGAATTTTGTCTTTTCTTTAATAGAAGGGTCTGAATACATTTGAGGACGACTGTACATACTGTAAATGCACAGTTTTGGGATTTTTCTGTCACATGTTTGAATGAAATCATCCAACAAATTTCAACTGAAATTTGGAATTTCACATCACGTGCAAAAGAGAAATGAATAAAACAAAACATAAAATATTTAAAGTTAGATTTTCAGGTTCTTCTCTGCCTACCACCTAATTGTAAGTCACTGCAAAATGTGTTAGATTTCACACATACTGTATTTATTGCTATTAAAAAGTTAGAAACAGGCACAATTTAAATCAATCTACTTTTTTTTTTCTTGATATGTCAAGTGAAAGCTGAACCCTTAACGTCAAACTCACTGCGGTTTCTGTTGGACCGGACTCATCGATGATGAAGATGCCCTCTGTGGTCATCCTCACTGCTTCCAGAGACGACGTCAGGTGAGTGCAGCCCTCTGAAACAGAAAACCAACATTAAGTGGAGGTTTCAAATGACACACTTTCAACAATGATTTATTTTCTTTTTAATTCACGCTCAACAATGTAGACTGTTGCTAACTACACTGAATGAGTCTAACTGAATCGAACTCTACTCGTCTCTAAAAGTGAGACAAGAGTCGTAAGACATAGAGCAGGGGTGTCCAATCCTGGTCCTCGAGAGCCCCTATCCAGCATGTTTTAGATGTTTCCCTCTTCCAACACACCTGATTCAAATGATCAGCTCATCATCAAGCTCTGCAGAAGCCTGATAACGATCCTGATCATTTGAATCAGGTGTGTTGGAAGAGGGAAACATCTAAAACATGCAAGACTGCAGCCTGGATTGGACACCCCCGACATAGAGTCTATGTGTTAGTTCAGACGGTGATGGAGTCAGGGCGTCACAAGGCCCTTTCTGTCCCATCGTTCACTGCTCATGTCCAGCCCACCCACTTGGCGAGCTTTATAACTGAAAAACCGAAACTCAGGTGTTAATGACTCCTTAAGGATATAAGTATGTGGAACTCCCAACTCGTCAGTCAGAATTGATGAAGCCTCTTGGATTAGAGGTGGAACGTCTTAAAGGAACCCAAGCAAGTCCAGTTACTACAATTAGTCTATGCGAAAAACCATGACCTGGATGACTGAGGATCTTCACAGACATTTATACTTGAGGCAGTGTTCATTCATTCATTCTGCCTCCTCCACGCTCACCACATCGCCTCTACGCCAGCCTCTACGCCAGCCTCTACAGATTGACAAATCCCCTTCTTTTCCCTTTTAAAAGTTTAATTTCATAACTCTGGTTGTTTCCCATATTGTGGGACTGTAGGATGCAGATGGTTCATAACTGTACCTCAGAACTATGTAAACTGGATTTTGTAAAGTGAGAACCATTTAGGTTGGTCTCCTCATTCTTGTGTTCATACTGTGAACATTGTGAATTTAAGGCTCTTCCAGGGGGGTTGTGATCTCAGGGACGGTCTGTGTCATACTTGCTCAGATTGTTCCATAGTCAATACCAAACTCAAATGCATGTGATTCCAAATCAAAGGGTAAACCTGACAAAGTGTCTGTCTGTCTGAAGTCTCATGTTGGGCTGCTGCAACAACATCGATCACTTCAGAAGATCACTGATCATTTTGGAGAACCTTGCTGTCATTCACACCTTGGAGGCCCCAGAGCTCCAGCACCACAGCGCTGCTCTGCAGGTAGTCCAGCAGGCGCTGGGAGGTGTGGAGGGAGGCGAAGTGGACCCTGTGATCCAGCAGAGGGTTGACGTTGTGCCACACAGCTGGAGTGTAGAGAGGCTGGCTGCAGTCAAATAACCTGAAACTAACAGAGAAGCAGATGAAGTAATGTCTGTCTGGAGGCCTCACGCATAATTTAGCAAATTCTTATTTATTATTATTTTTTCAGTTTCTAGTTATCTGAGGGACTATTGTAAATTTTGCCTTTTCTTTAATGGAAGGGTATGAATATATTCGAGGACGACTGTATGTCTGATATGACGGAAACATCAGAGGCCACTTGTCTCAACTAAAATCCATCATCAGCTCCCGACAAAGCTCCACATTCTAGGCTGTATATCACCGTGTTTTCAAACTCCCTACATGGAGCCTCACCCAATTTGGACGCCTCGATTGCGAGCCTCTCTGATCCAGCGAAGGCCACAGCACTGATCCAGGACCAGCTGGAAGTCCAGTCGTCGACCCAGTATCTCAGTCGGGTCGATCAGGATGTCGTCCTCACCCAGAGGGCTGGAGGGAGAGCGTGTTTAGTGACTGATCGATCTCTGTGTGTTTCCTACAGTGTGTGTGTGTGTGTGTGTGACATACAGTCCAGTGGAGGAGCAGGGGACCAGCTGGGCCTGTAGGATGGCCTCCTCTGAGCCCTCTGAGCCCAGCACCTGCAGACAGAGATTATCAGACCATCACTGCACTCATCCATCATCTGACAGACACTGCAGCTGAACAGAGTAGAATATTTATTATTATTATTATTATTATTATTTATTATGTCACAGTGGAACTTCGTCAGTTGATTACTTACATTAAGAGAATTTTTTAATATGCACATGTTTTTACAGAGGGGATTGTTTTTTGTTTGTTTGTTTGTTTGTTTTTTATCACTCTGTAAATCAAAAAATACTATCGACTGTCAGAAAATAACACATTTTGCACATATTTTTAGAATTAAAATGCTCTAAAAATCAAGCTATTGAACAAAACATGACCGAACCTCTTGGTGAAAACCTTCAGAGCATAGATAGGAATAAAACTGGAATGTTTGGGATATGTAAGTGGGACTAAGGTGGAGATTCGTGGGTCAGAGTGTGAGAAAACATATCATTTTGAGAAGATAAAGACACCCAAATGTGCACTTATGACATTTTTTCTAGTGTGAAAAACATTTTTTTGAAAGCAAAATGTCAAAACTGACTACTGCATAGAATCTAGCCTCACTTTAATGTGTGTCCATGTAGTATATCTGTGTTTGTACCTCCAGCTGCTCTTCCAGAGGGATGCGGAAGGCCAGAGACTGAAGCCAGAGGTGAGCGGTGCCCAGGAGCAGAGGCTCAACTGGATCCCAGAATGGATCTTTATCTCTGGGTAAAGCCACTGGTGACAGCCCCTCGACTCTCTGACAGCAGGAAGCAAAGACAAGTCGCTTATTAAAAGCAGAAGTTTCTGCTCAGAAATGTAAAGCTGTGAACAAAAGAATGGATGTGTTTAAAGTTCAGACCATCAGCAAAGCTAGCAACGCCCTATGAAAAAATGCGTCACCACTTCGCACAAAGAGCTGAATCACTGTGATTCTGGGATCATGTAGTTGTGAGTTATTTCAATGTTTCTCTGCATTCTATAGTCATGTAAACTCTGAGTTTTAAGCATTAATATCTGTTGAGATGTCTGTGGATCTCTTGTGTATTTCCTCAGAGGTTGTGTTCATGGTTTCTGGACATGGTTTCTAATCTGTGCTGTAGATTTTCAGGATTAAGAACAACAACAGAAATACATCTCATTGTTTGCATGTCTGCTGATTACAACAATCTCAACACAACAAAGTTACTGTACGTTGTCTCCGCTCTGCTCAGCCTGATGCTGCTGGTAAACTTCCTCCATCAGAAACTTGCGGTTGACAAACTTGGCCTTGGACCACATCCACACCTGAGAAGTGAGTGTAAAAGCTGTAATTATACAAAAAGCTTTTGAAGCAGTGAGCACCACAGACAAACCGCTCAGAGACAGACCAACCTGTTTGCTTCCTTTAGACGTGACTCTGACAACGGTGTCCTTCTCCAAGTCGTGGCCTTTTGGATCGGACAGCGCCAGGTTCTTGATCTCCAGCTTGAAGTCGACCCCCTGAAAACACAGCAGACAATAAAGAACAGCTGATTCTCCAAACATAAAGAGATCACACACAGCAAAAACACTCCTGTTCTATTCGATTTACAAGAATAACTACCTTCAGAGAGAACACAACAACAACAGAACGTCAATGTGCAGCAGGTTGTTCCTCTTACTTTGCTCAGCTCCTGACTCATCTGGTTGGCCTCTGCCACCATGGGCATCAGTTTGATGAAGTCGTAGAAGACGGCCAGCAGACTGGGGTCTGTCTGGCTAGATCCAGCACTGGACTCACCTAAACATCAGCGGATGAACATCTGATGAACACGTTTCTTCCTAAAATCCAAACTCCCCCTGCTGATCCTCCCACTCACCCAGGTGGATGCCCTCAGCAGCAGCCAGTTCAGACTGGAAGTAATCGTAGTCGTAGCGGCTCCAGTCGTCTCCGCCCCTCTCAGACGGATAACCAATGAACAGGTAGGTACAGTTGGAGCCCAGAATGAGACGATCCTAAACACAAAACAAGAGTGTGTTTGCCTCGACAGCATGTCACACAGGCACGTTTAACGACTGGTAAATGTGTCAACACCCACCAGGTGCTGCAGCTCAGTTGTCTGGGAGGCGGTGTTCCCATTTACAATCACCTTTGACCCTGTCAGCGGCGTCAGTGTCACCCGGCGCTGCTCATTCCTGAACACAGCATGACGCTCCTGGATCCTGACATGTAAACAGACATCAACGTGTGTGCATGAGGAAAAAATACTTCTCTTGTAGACCAACTTACACTCATATAAAAGTCATTTTCTTCATTTGCTTATTTTTTTAAAGCGTCAAAAAGCCTGCAGTGTGCACTGTGTAGAATTGCAGGAAAATAACTATCACATATCGCCAATTATTCTTCCACTTCCTCACTTTCTGTCTATTTAGGGATTGTAATTTCAGTTTTTTTGCACTGGTGTTGTTTTTTCCTGCTGCGATCATGATGCACAAACCTACCCTAAGCCCTTGATAGAGATGGATCTTGGAGAGGAGTCGCACAGCCCGATGTCCCACTCACCTGAAAGAACAGCAACGTCGTACTCAACATGGTACAATCTGCAGTATTTGATTAGTCAGAATATGTTTGTCTGACCTCTTTGGCATTCTCCACTTTCAGCACCCAACTAGAGACGATGCATCTTACAGCATATAGAGAGAGACGGGGACGGACTCACCCTCCTGGATGAAAAGCTTCACCACCCCCGACAGCTGAGCGTCCTCGTTGATGTTCAGGATGTAGGGATGCATCTGCATCATCCTCCTCTCCTGAAAGTGAGATAGAGGGACAGAACCTTTATGAGACAGGAAGAGTCACACAAAAGCTGAAAAATATTCACTTCAGCCACACTCAGAGATATTTTACACTAAACCTTCACTGAGTGGATTTACATTCTGTGCTTCTGCGTTTGACTGTTTGTGATTTGCTTTCTGATTGTATATGTGTGTGTGTACCTGTGTGATGTTGGCGTACTGTTGCTCCCAGTCCTTCAGCGCCTCCTGCAGGTGTTGTTCCCACAGAGTCTGAATGGCCCTGATCTGGAGCTCGTTGTGGGCCAGCAGCTGACGGAGCTCCTCTGAACACACAAACAAACACGGTGACCTCTCTGACCCTGGCCTCGTGGGTCCGGCTCCGCTCCACTCAAACGCTGATTCTTACTGGTTTCGTCGTTGGCTCTGCGTCCCTCTTGGCCCAGTCGGCTCAGTCGCTGCAGCAGTCTGGCGTTCTCTGCCTTCAGCTCTTTAACGAGACGCTCGGTGGGGCTCTCGTTCACCACGGCCCGGTTCTGGATGCGCTTTGCCCTGCAGAAGTAGGAGAGGAAGCGCGGTGGTGGAGAGGTGGAAGTGTAGCCAAAACAGAGTACACCAGGGACAGGGAAACAAGAATAATTAAAGCCGCAAGCGGCGATGGACGGGTCCTCGCCCTACGCTTGTCGGCCTTTGCGCACGGC